AAAATAATTGACTGCAGCCCACAGAGACGGGTTTTGGAATAACTGTTAGCAGTTGCACTTTCAAAATGGCCTCAATCCAGCTTTCCCAATTTTTCTCACAAGGCTTCTGCCCACAGTTTGTTATACTTGAAAACTTGCTGGTGCATGCTGAGAGAGGATAACTTTTTCAGAAAGCACAGCCTGTCATTTTTAGTATTGTCAGAAGGAGCTGCTGTAAGAGGGTTGAAGGATTAGCACTCATCTTGAGCTTAGCTTCTCTAAGAAACCTTCTCTAAGACAAATCTTATCTTTGCTGAGATCATCCCTTCTTTAGGACCTGAATAGTCACCTTGTGCTTCTATCAATTGGTAGCACAGCAATGTGTAATGCACTTGTAGCCAGAGTAATTCCCCATGATACAAGCCATGGCTTCAAATGGCAAATATGCTGATCGTGACTGAAGGTCCAAGGTCTACAGTCAGTCCATCTATTGCTAAGGGCATAATAGAAGATATAAATAAACACTTTGTCTGGTTTGCTGGCACAGTAGAAATTGTGACACCTCTGAGAACACTGGCATGATGACAACTGCGTGTCATGCTGCAGGGCTTTGGCTTCGCTGTGTAGAAAGGGCATCTTGCATTGACCTGGCACTGCACTAAAATACTGTCCTTAGCACCATCGGTGCCATGCCCCTAGTGTGGTGTTCAGCAGCAGACTGCATCTTGTCAGGATGATGCCTCTCACTCTTACAAAAGCTTCCCACCCCCCAATGCATGAGGGTGTCTCTGGGGCTCCTATCTGGGGTTTTGTCTGGAAGCAGAGACGTGGCTGTTCATCATACCTTCTTAGGGCTGCGCGTGTACACAGCTGCACGCTGTCTAAAGACGTGTTCCTCAAAATATTTGTGCACAGATTTTTGTGCTTAGAGCTGGGGAGCAATATACTTCTTGGAGTTGTTTCTTTTGTGTTTGACAAAATCTTATATCTGCTTTCTCCCCTTTCCTGCTGTTCTGCTCTGCACATCTGCTGCAACCATGCTGTGTCTATCAGCTTTTCTTTGACCGGCACAGCCATACACCTTGAATTCTCGTTATAGGCTTAGCATACATGTAGCAGAGAAGCCAAGAAACCACTCCTCTTTCTATGGCAGCACTATTCCCCATAAGATTTCTTTTTCACGGTCTTCTGGCCACAGGACATGTATGCAGAGCTGGAAAGTTCACAGGTCTTCAGCCTGTCCTTGCCTGATACTGCTACCACCTTATGGCAAGGTTTGGGTAAAACTCAGCTGTGGGAAGTGAAATCGCGCGTGTTCCCGGCTGGCAAATGGTAAAAGGGATGCGTCTCACTGAGGAACCTGAATGATAACTGCTATTATGAGGGCCATAAACTGAGTTTGGGAAGACATCAGCTGAAGTGGTTTTTAGATTAAGTTAAAGCTTGTTTGCATCTTTAGGTCAGGGAAGAAGGAAAGAAAAGCTCCTCTTCCCTGGAGCTATACCGCAGAACTGATGCTGAGAAGAGCTGCTCTTCTGAGCTGCTGTTCTGAAGTGTCACTCCAAGCAAATTTCTGTCCAGTTTCAGAATTCAGGAAAATATTTTGTAGGGTTTGGGTTAAATGAAACCAAGTGAGAAAGGGCAGATTACATCTTCCATTTGTGACTGAGCATAATTTGAAAGGCCAGTGAGTATATATGCACAGCTACTGGAGAGAGTCCAGAGGAGGGCTACGAGGATGAGGAGGGGACTGGAGCATCTCTCCTACGAGGAGAGGCTGAGGGAGCTGGGCTCGTTCAGCCTGGAGAAGAGAAGGCTGCGAGGGGACCTAATAAATGCTTATAAATATCTGAGGGGTGGATGTCAAGGGGACGGGGCCAGACTCTTTCCAGTGGTGCCCAGTGACAGGACAAGGGGCAACAGGCACAAACTGAAGCAGAGGAAGCTCCAGCTGAACATGAGGAAGAACTTCTTCCCTCTGAGGGTGACGGAGCCCTGGCCCAGGCTGCCCAGGGAGGCTGTGGAGTCTCCTTCTCTGGAGATATTCCAGACCCGCCTGGACGCGGTGCTGTGCAGCCTGCTCTGGGTGAGCCTGCTTGGGCAGGGGGTTGGGCTGGGTGACCCACGGAGGTCTCTTCCAACCCCAACCATTCTGTGATTCTGTGAACACCAGTTTGTGGAAACAAAGCCTGGAAGAGTATTGCCTTCATGCTACTATTGCCTTCGGTGTGCACTGTTGTAAATACACTAGACAGCTGTTGTGTGCAGTGAAGAATTTAAAATGATTCAGCTGGAATGAAGAGCAATAGTGCTTTACCAAACAGATGAATAATCTCTTCCACTTACTTTAAAACATGGAATTTATTAATGGAAAATATGCTCCAACAGCTCACCTGTTTACAGAACACACTGCAAATATATACTTTGTTTCATTGTGGCATCTTCTATCCCAAAGCATTATGTAAATGCAGATGAAAGTCAAGCCTTGCAACACTTCAGAGGCAGATACTGCTAATTCTGTTTTTCAGGTAGGGAAGCAAAGGTGCAGGAGAGGTCAGGGGCTTCCACAGGGAGGCCTGGGGCAGGGCTGAGAACAGTATTCAAATCGCTTATTCCTAGTATTGCGTTTAAGCATAAAAACCCATTCTCTCGAAGGATAATGGCGCAGTTCTGTTGAGCACGCTTATGAAGTCTCTGCTGCTCAGGGATTATCGGCTTGGGAGGGCTCGGGTGCTTAGCAGGGTAATTCTTTTGAGCGTTTCAACCTCCCCTTGCTGCACTTCCCATCCAGTTGTGGAACTGGGGAGAAGCGTGGGATCCCTCTGTACCAGGTGTTTCTTGGCTGAAGCAGATGAATAAACCACAACTTATCCTTTTTTAATCAGAAAGATTTAAAGTGTTTGGTGCTTCTGGAAAACAATCCATATCTCCAATGGGAATTCTTTATAATGTGTGGTACTCTGTGAGGTTTCTTTCTGATTCTGTTGAGTCAGATTCAAGAAATGTAAGGAATTAAGGAACTTCAGGTATGGGTACTACACAGTCAGTTTATTAACAGCTTTTGCTGACAGCATACATGCCTGAAATGTTTCATTTTTATTGTTTGTTCAAGCCAGCACAACCTCCTCGTGGGATTATTGCATTAGTTTGGAGTACACTGTTTCATAAAATGCCCAACTGACAGTGCGCATAATGAACCTTGTTAGGTCTTTTCTGCCTTTTGTATTTCTGTTTCATCTTCAGAAGAGAAAACAGAATATCTGCTTCCTGTTGATAAATGATTTTGGTGGTTTTATGCAACTGGAGAGATGAAAAGCTGCAGTTGGTGATGTAAGCACCACGAGTACGCACCACTTTCTGACAAACTGGGTACAAAGTTGGGGCTAAAAAACAAGTTAGTATCCTGCGTCTTTTCTATGGCTGCTTGTGACATCAAACACTTAGCAGTAATAAGGACTCAAGTACTATACAGACTGTTTTAAGCCTATTAATGCCTTCTGTTTATTGTGTACCTGCTAGTGGTCTCACCATACATTCTGTGAAGAGATTGTCTCGGTGCCTGCATCAAAAATGCAATTTAGTCTGCTGAAGGATGAGTATATGAACACTGTACTGGATATGTTACATGCCTGGACCATAAAATTCTATGGAAATCAATGGGCTGTTTGGAAATCTGTATTTATAACTTTGCCAGTTGTATGTCAAATCCTGCCCTAGAGATCCTGTAATGCGAAGTCGGGTTGGCTTTTCAAAGATGTCCAGGCTCTGGAGTTTGTAGTAGGGAGCAGATAAGGAAATGTAGCTAGTCTGTTTATATGAAGAAGGTTTTTTTTTTCTTGTTCAAAATAGTTAAATCTGTATTTCGATTTCAAATCTGTTGTAACACTAAAGAACTTCTTTCTGTAAGATCAGCCCAATAAAACACCAAAAGAAAGTCCATGTGATCCTGCAGGTACTCGTGTTGTGCCTTCGGTTCCTATTAAAATTTTATCTAATGGCGAGACAAAAGCTTCTTCCTCGAGCAATGACTGACTTTTTTTCAGTGCATCCTCAATTGCTCAGCAGCCTGAGTCATTTCAGACTAGACAGCTACATTCCCTTAGGGATACTGTTTTACAGTCTCATTCTAGTAATAACTCTTCTAGCATCCATCAGATTTGCAGGCCCAAAAGAAGATTCTACAAATCCTTGAAGGTCATCTTCAGACCTTAGATAGATAGGATCCTGTAAATTACAGACGAAGCTTGAAACTAATTTTGGATGGGGTAGGGAGGGTTTTTTTTGTGAATTACTAACGAGACTATATAAGCCTTCTCTACCATGTCTAAATTTGGATTTAATGTATTTTTGGTTGGTACCAGCCATATAGAAGCAAGCAGTAGTATTTGGTGTAGTGTTTTATCTCAGCTGCCACTAGGTCTGTCCTCTAATAAACCACTGACACTATGATGAGGCGTATTTGTTATACCTGCTAGATTTATCAAAGCTGCTTTTGGCAGAAGCTGTTCGGTACCAGATTTTCGTTCTTTTTCAGGCATGACACAGAAGGTGCTTTGTGGACGAATGTTGATGTCTTCTTGGAAGGGGATGGCAGACTGAAGCAGTAGCTAGGTGTGTAAAGATGGAGAGGAAGCCAGCAAATTTTGTAAATAACTTAAGTGATTAAATGAATTTGGTGTTTAGGAGCTTTTAGACAGCTTAGTTGCATCTTCAGGTACCTAAATACCTTTATAACTCTCAACCTTTTTTAACCCCTGGTTCATGTGACTGAATGGTAGTTGTGTTTGCTGTTGCAAACTATGGCTGACTTGCTTGCTTGGGGACATATTTGTCATATTTTAAATAAGCATAAATATAAAATTAAAGACATAATGTTTTAATAACAGGCTGTTGTGGAAGTGCTAATAAAAATGATGATTAATGATTTACACGGTTAATGGGGGGAAATGTATAGTGTCTGTTTTTCAGCAGTCTTAAAGTAATAACTCTAGAATTAGACTGGTGTTCATTTCTTTCAAAAGGGGAGAGTTATGTCTGCTCATCTGACAACTTCTTCAAGAAGGTGGAATACACCAAGAACGTCAATCCCAACTGGTCTGTCAACGTGAAGACATCTGCCAACCAGAAAGCACCTCAGTCTCTGGCCAGTAGCAACAGCGCCCAGGCAAAGGAGAACAAAGATTTTGTGCGTCCCAAGCTGGTAACCATCATCCGCAGTGGGGTGAAGCCCCGGAAGGCAGTCCGTGTGCTCTTGAACAAGAAGACTGCCCATTCGTTTGAGCAAGTTCTCACCGATATCACTGAAGCTATAAAGCTGGAGACGGGAGTGGTCAAAAAGCTGTATACCTTGGACGGGAAACAGGTAGGAGATTTTACAGATGTTACATTTTTTTTCATTCTCTTATCTTGAGGCTTTGCTGACTCGGAACAATTTTTAAAGCCTAAAATTAACCTGAGATGATTACTGCCATCTGTTCTCTTAGAAGTCAAACTTCTCATGCCAGTGGTTAAGTTACTAAATTTTCACTGATATTAATATCAAGTAAAGAATGTAGCCAACCGTCTGAGTGAAACAGATGCTCTGGCCTGCACACCAGCGTGCAGTGCGTGTCTTCCGGACTAGCTAAATAAATAACATGAGGAGTTCGGCTCACAGTCACCAGTTGATTTGACTCTGAAATAATTGCAAGAGCTCTCAAGCTTTGGATTCACGAAGTGCGAATGTGTTGCTTGGCTTTCCTTGCTTGCTAAGATAAAGTAATTGATCTAAGCATGCTCTGCTGTCTACCTCAGTAATTAGCAGGAAAAGCATGGAACTGTGTTGCATTTTCTTCGCTAAATGCATGAAGAGATAAAATGCAAAAAGGGATTTAGGTAAAAAATATTTATTGGGTCATCATAATGTGCTTCATGTCTAGATTTTCCTGGAACTAAAGGAAACATCTGTCTCTTGTTAGCGGCTACACAGCAATAAGCCATTCATATTGCTGTATCTGTGAGAGCCCTTAAAGGAATGTGGAGGATAACTTTGGGGACTGGGAAGAGTTAGATTCTTCAAGGAAAATTCCAAGCTTGATTTAACAGTTCTGTGTCTTCTGTAGTGGGGGATGATTTTATTTTTGTTACTGTTTTTCTTGCTCCGGATTCTGGAGTGAGGCAGCACAGTCCTTGAGTGGGGGCTGGATGTTGGCTATTCTAGGGATTGATGCTACTGCTTTAACTCTCTTTCCTATCTCTGGAGAAAATTATTCAAATACGGGCTCTTGAAATACTATGCCAACCCCAGGGAATGTGTCCAACAATCATACAGACTTTACTTATGAAAATATTCATCCTTTCAACCCCAAATATAGCCTCAAAATGTCCTGCACAGTCCAGGTGCAGTGTCTGGGAGCTGAAAGTAGCATGTCCCTCTAACCTGTCTGCTGCTATTGCTTTGTTCCAACCTCCTGCATGTTAGTTAGTGGCTGCTTCTAGCTTCAGATATACGAAAATCTCATCCGGCTATCAAAGCTTTTCTTTCCACTTGTCTCCACCCAGCAGTTTTTCTGCACAAGGTGTGTAGTTTATACATGAGTGGGTGACTTCCAGCTAGACTGTCCATAGATATAGTAGCATGCTGTAAATAAACAGTGATACAGTGAGTGATGTACTGGAAACCTTGGAAGTGGCTGGGGGAAGAGGAAGGAGAGAGTCAAATGATCTGTCCTCACTGAAGAAATCATGTGTGGGCACAGGACCATGCGTTTTGAATCACAGCAGCTTTACAGAGTGTTTAATAGATGGAGCTGGCCTGAAAGCCTTTGCCTACTTATGCTGACACAGAGCTCTCACAGCTGTGAATGAGGATCTTAATCTGAACCTGTAAAATGCCCCAGTTCATTCAGAACAGCGAGCATTTTGGAGGTGAGATGTTGCTTTGGAGAGCATCCAGAAATAGGGGTGCCCCACGAGCTTCTACCAAACAGTTTTCTTCTCTACCTTTAAGCTAGTTACAGGAGTAAGTGGTGTTTCCACCTCTGCCTGGAGACCAAGGCTGAATCAGCCCATAAACTGAACTGATCTTGGGGCCTGGTGACTGGACCAGCCTGTGAAATCATGTTAATTCTGAAGTGGGGATTTGGGAAATGCTGCTTGCTCTCAAATTACGGATTGCCTAGAGTAGCACTGCTGTGGGGTAGACTGCAACCTGTTGTTGGCTGCTTTGTATGGGGCTACAGCTGAGCAAGGGGCACAAAGATCTCTGTAATTTAGCAATTCCTACTGTAAACTGTTGTCCATAGCAGACACCGCACCATACAAGACTCTTCTTGAATCAAAAAATAAAAGGTGACCTTGTTTTCCTCATGTCAGGCTCCAATAGCTGCACAGTGATGGGTGCCTTAATTCAGTGCTCCTTTGACTGGGACAACCTGACAACTTCACCATCAGTTTTTGTTGCAGAAATGTGATTTCAGTAAAGTCTGAGTTAAATATCACAATTATCATTGATTTGGTGGCTTTAGAATTCACCATTTTATCAAATGTGATATTTCATCGTGTGTTAGAGACACCACAGGTAGTTTCACTGTATGCAGATGTACATGCAGTATTGCAGTTATGGAAAAGAGTGAGACTTTGTGTTTCGACAATAATGGAATGCTTGATATATGTTTGTGGCATCAATTACTGTTGAAGCTTTGTGAAATGAAAACCTTGTTCACCAAGGCTTTGTTTTTACTGGCAGGTTTCCTTCAGTGGTTGTTTTTTTAAATCTAAGTTTATCTGAAATTGTCCACCTATGTGTGTTCTTAGTGTTGAAGCCAGAAGCTGCTGCTGTGGGTGCAGTGTTTGCTGTGAGGGTTTCCATAACATACTGCTCCAGAAAATCTGATCTTCTGACATCATATTAGAGGTTTTTGCATGTCTGATTCTGACATTAGAAAGAGATTCTTGAATGCCTAATTCTGACAAACAATACTTTATTTTCAGGAGAAAATATTCATGCAAAAACATAAGCTGCTTAAAGCTGAAATACTGACAAGAATCCTGACAATCTGTCTCTTTGAGTGCCATCAGAGGCACGTTACTCCCTCTGTTGTGAAATGATAAAATGTACAAAAGGAATGTACAAAGGAAAATCATCCTTCCTCAGTCCATGAGCTGTAGCATAATGAGGGGAGATGATTATTTTATTTATAGGCATTTCCATGGTGCTCATCAGTAGAGTAATCAAGATGCTTTAGAAGTACAGACAGTGGTGGCAATGACAGAGTGGTGCTTAAATAATTGCATTTCTATGCACTGCAGACCTGCTGCATTTGGAGTGAGAAAGTAGTTAATTGAGAGCTGGATGGGGTGTGTTTGAATAAATGGAACACTCAAAACAACAGTGAGGTTAGGTTTTTAACGGAATTTTTTGTTTCTTTTTATGTATTGGGTTGTTTATATAACTGTTGCCCTTTTGATACTGCTAAATTAGCATCTCAGGTTTAAGTAGTTTATTTAACTTGGTCTTGCATGTATTTCTAATGCCTCGTGTCTTGTCTGTCCTTATTCAAGCTCCTTCCCTACTTGGAGCATGACATTATGTCTTGATGCACACCCCAGGACTCAAGAGGGTTTTCAAATTGTTGACCAAAAGTGAATCATGACAGAGAATCACAGTAGAGGTTTAACATTTGAACTTTCATGGCCATGTAGGAAATTGTATAGGTCAAAGAATTCAGTGCATTAAACAAGTACTACAGTGGAGCAAATCCCGCACTTGGTTTCATGATTACAACTGCTGTTGTGTTGAGATGTCTAACATATAATTAGTATGTACAGACGCAGGACTGAATTTGCTCTGATCTGTGGATCCTGTTGGAAAATACTTATTTTGGTAGATTCTTCCTCTTTTTCTTTTTTTTTTAAACTCTTAGTTATACTCAGTGTCCCAAATTACTCTGGATTCTTGGGAGCACTGGCTACTTTATAAACACATGACAACAGTTTCTGCTTCATGTCATTAATAAACCAAATTAGAAAGCAAAATCTGAGACTGTGGATGAAGTTGCTTTCAAGGATTTTGAATGCAATGGTCTGAACTAGACTTTGCCAATGTTGTATAGACTTACTGTCCTGTTTGCTTGAGCTTATTTCTAACCATGGTGTACAATAAGAAGGTATTTTTCTGGAAAAGAGGAGGCTGTTTCCTCACTGACAGCCCAGTGCCCATCTTTGGCTTTCTTCACCTTGTTTTGCAAGTGGTGGCTGTTAGCATTCATTCCT